GATGTCAGCGTGACTGATAATCAAAAGCCAGACTGTGCCCTCGTATGTGTGCTTGACTTTGTAAGGACTTTTGAGAGGCTTCTTTTTTCCTCACACCATTTTCATTGTCTCTGCTTCACTGCTTTGAGGTTCAAACAACTTATCATCTGAATTCAGAAACAACAGAAAATACCTGCTGTTTTGCCTTTGTCTGATTTGATAGGCACACAGCATTATCCCAATAGGAGTTTAAGATGATAAAACACCAAGTGAGATAGAAGGCAGACTGAAATGGTTATATTGTCATTAAACTTACAGCGCCCTTGGCTGTTATGATGTATTTGTGCTATGTTGTAAGCCTCGAATGAACAATTTGAAAGTAAACGAATAAAAGTAGTACTATAGGTTAGAGAGCTGTTCATGACCCCAGATGTTAAGGATTTAGAAGCTTTCACTATTCCTCTTAAAATTGTGTGTATGTGTGAAATAAAAATTTGCTCGTTATTTTAGGAGTCGTCTTCCTTCCCTTTGGTGTGAGTTCAGAGCTGTTAGAGTATGGTTTGTGATGGAGAGAAGATCCAAAACTATGGCTATACCTTCACACCATAATAGAGTCAGGTATTACTTTGTTCTGGTTGTGCTGAGTGTCAGTCAGAAGCCAAATAAATCCAGCTGACATGGCACCAGCTGGATTCATGCTGTTTGCAGTAAAACTTCTACAGGTATTGATGAGCCAGGGGAAGCAGTGTTGTCATGCTGCTGACAGCTGGGTATAGGGCCTCCTTTTGTTTAACGAGATACATTAGGCACTGCGGAGAACACTTTAAGATGTGTTAGAAGACATTGTCACTGCAGTGCATTGACAAGTATCAGCAGAGCCTAGCAAGGCATCTGACCGTGATCAGATATTCCTCTTAGGAGCATGTTTAGGTATTCTGCTCAGCCTGTTCTTGGGTAGCTAATAATGGAGTTGGATCCTCTTCCTCTGTTTTGAGAATGCCTTACTGAGTCATGCATAGAATGATGTGACTAATTTGTGGAACAGAAGTCCCTGTGCATCAGCTGTTCACTCTGGTTTTCCTGGGGGGAAGATAGAACTTTTTATGTTGCAAGACACTGATCATTCTTTTCAGCATATCAAAGAATAAATGTACTGTAGGCTTTTCTATTGAAAAAAAAATAATAGAACAAATGGCTTTTATCTGTATTTCCATCATTACATCTGCATAAATCTCACCGGTGCTAATGGGACTTGTAGCAACATAGATAAAAGACAGTCAGGCTGTCAATGAGATACGGAGCAAGACAGAACAAGGCACAGAAGTAGGAGGGTTCATCCCTGTAGGGGCAACCTGCAAGCGCGTAACTCGGCCTGCTTAGAATAAACTATTGGCATGCAAAGCTAAGGCTCTCCAGCATAAAGTGCCTAACGGTGGCTAATGCAGTGGCTGTGCAAACTTACCGAATGCTGTGCTTTGTTGCTGCCTAGATGGATCTTTTCAGAGAAAAAAGTTTGGTCTCTACATCCGCTCTGCCTTAGGAGCACATATGAAGACACCAAGGACAGTCCAAAAGCACCTGGGCTCTGCGGTTCAGAAGGAATAGGTGGGACTGTGAGGGCTGAGCTAGAGCGTTATGGGGGTAAGCTGAAACCAGCAGACTCACCTCCAAGAGTAGAGAAGGGGTGAGGGTACAGTGCAAAACAGTCAAAGAGGCAGAATCGTGGGATCCTGTAGAGATTAAGAAAGGAAAAGGAAAACCAGCAAGCAGCATGTTTTTAGAAGTATGTAGAAATACGTGAAAAAGGAGAAAATTAACAGAGAGCAATGCAGTTAGTCCTTACAGCTGATTACAAACGGTAATATTATCACTGTGAGCAGAAGAGGAAGGAAGTTCTGGGGGTGGACCCGAGGGCAAAGACGTTAACTGGAGTGATCTGATACAGAACACAGAATTATTTATTTCAGTGTAAGTCACAGCACTGACAAAGTCAGCATAACGTACAGTTAGCTTCGTTCCTTGACAGTTTCTGGGAGGATTTTGTCTAAAATGCTGTTTGAGTTCTGTCCCAAGTTCTATCCATGGACACTTGAAAACTGTAGACCAAAAGCAGCAGACACACTGACACCAGTATTTGACCTGGGTTCAAATATTAGGGATTTTATTTTTTGTCTTTTATTTTGCTATTTAAAATAGTATGAGTTGTCCTCTTTATTAGTGTAATGTACAGATTGAATGTTCAAAGCAAAGAAAGAAATTAAGAGCTTATTATGGAAGGCTTCTTTAACAGGAAGATTGTGCAAGGAATGGTTTTGATCAGCCCATTTCCTAGGATCCCACCTGTAAATGCAGTTCCTGCACCTGTCTGGCTATACATGCTCAAGAAACTCAACAGTGCTTTTTAACACACGAGTTGGAAAGGCAGACTTTCTTAAGATGAAGTGACTGCTGCTCTCTCTGATGTACCCTTCTCATTTTTCCTGGGGCTGTGTGATACTACTTTTACTGTCCTACAGCCTCTTTATTGTCTGCCAGCATTTTCTTTCTTGAAAAAACAGCATACCTGGGACATGTGCTTCTGAAAAAGCACAGTGTTGTAATCCAATATATTTGGATATTCTTAAGTCCACAGAGTAAAAATAGTGAGTTGTCATTTCATCTCAGAATATTCATAGTTAAATAGAAAAACAAAAATCTTATCAGTCCTTGCTGCCCAAAGGAAGACCCTAAACAGGACTCCTGAGTGTATGCACGTGAAGTGAAGTTCAGAGGGACCGAAGAGGTGAGGTGTAGTTTGAAGTATGCATAATTCTGCTCATAGAGAAGCTACCAAGACTACAATAGAAAAGATTGACAGTGAAAGTATCCCTGCTGCTCTGGTAGGAAAGCAACCACACGACTTATGGTTGAGTGAGTGACTGCACAACTCTACAATTTGGTAGAACTTTACTGTAAGCAGATTAGTTCCTAGCAGAGTTGACTGAACAAGGTACAAGGGAATTTTCTTACAGGACTGTAGATGTGAGCCTTTAAATAAAAAGAACTGCTGTTGACTTCAAAACTGAGTCACCAGCACTGATGAATCTTCAAAGTCATCAATTTACCGTCATTTAAAACTATTCTAAAATAGTTAATTCTTTCAAAAAAGAGCACAGGCCCTTTCTATTTCTGCCTATATATTTCCTAATAGATAGTGAAGTAGGACTGAAAAGCCTGTGAACACCATGGAGACACTGTTTTGTCAGTGTTGCATTGTGACATATTCGTGATCTTTTTTTTCTTTGCTTCCTTAACTTTTTTTTAACTTCCTTATTTCGTTTCTGTTCGGCATGTGTGTTCATTTTAGCGATAGTACAGTTCATCTCATAAGATATTTAACTTTAACTTGTGTGCATACTACTCCGAGGCACCTGACAGGCTTAATAACGTATTAGCTACCTCGTCATCGTGCTTCCCATGTCAGCCATAGAACACAGTAGTTATATTGGAAGTACTTAGCGTAAATCTGTTTCATCGAAATGGCTATATAGTTTCACTTTGTCAAAATACCTACATTTGGCTTTCTTTGCTGTTTAAATGCTGTTCTATTTGTTCCTAACTTCCCCTGTTTAACAGCAGACAAACCCAGGGAGCACTGAATGAATCGGATGATCCCGAAACAGGCTGTCTAACTGATAACAAGCCAACTTCTCGACACTTCTATCCTGTCGCCTTGCTGCTTGTCAGCTCACACTTGCTGGTTGTGTGGCTTATTTTAAGTCTTGCTTTGCTATTAGCCAAATATCAATAAAACTTCACTTGTGTTCCTTTCTTTTCTACAAAGAGCAACAAACTAACTTTAGAAAAAGGAATTATGCTGTAATATTTCTACAATCTCAGACCCCAAGGATTCATCTTTAAGATACAAATGTCTGAAATGTACTGTTTTCATTATTTTTTCTGAACTCTGAGAAGTATACTATGCATTGAGTGAATTGATTTGCTCTTTCTGTTCATGGTAAAGCTTTCCCACTGTAATTAGCTCAAAGAAAGCCCACTTACAATGCTGTCGCTGTATACAAGAAGATGTGGAATCCTGAATGCTTGAACCCCTCTTTCCAGAGTAATTAGTCTGACAAAAAAAAAAAAAAAATATTAAAAATTAATTTGCACAACACAAACTAACCCCTAGGCAAATATTATAGGGCGGTGGTTTGTGAGACTTAACTTGTATTGTTTTCATTGTTACTAGCTGATGGGATCTTTTTTGTTTAACAAATGATTATTGCTTTGCTACAACTAACCCTTTTCTGTCTAACTAAATGGAATAGAGTTAAGTTCTGTTTTGTAATGAAATTAACCTGTTTGTAATTGTTGCTTTAGTTGCTTTTGCTTTCAAGACACTTTTATATTCTTTTTAACAAAGTCCTGTTTATGTCTTGAGGCACCACTTTGGCACTTGTGACTTTTGTACTGTATGTGAACAAACATCCTTCCTTTATAAAGCAGAGAGTTGGATTGGGCTGTTTGAAAAGCCATTCTCTCTTTTTTTTCATTGCAAAGCTGAACATACAGGAAATGAAGCAGAGATGAAACTTTCCTTCACAAATCTCTAGGGCCAGACTTAATAAAATGCCTTATTCCTAGAATACACATTTTTAGGGCAATGTGTACTCTCACATATATAGCAAACAATTTGAAAAAAAGTATGAAAAGGTTTAAAAAGCAAATATATTTCTGGAATTAGAACAAAATGTATCATTAAAGTATTTAAATTTTTTTTACTAAACTTTAAACCTCAAGGGCAAATATATTGGGCGGGGGGGGAAATCTTATCACCTATTTCTGAGGGCAATAACTGTACTGGGCCTGGCCTTGGATTTAATTTTGTAAGATGTATCATCACTTGTGGAAAACAAAAATGTAGAGTTGAATCTTTGTTATTTTTACTTCAACTGTTGCTGAAACTCTGCAATGAACAAATAAAGCATATTTATTTATTCTGTGTTTCATGAAGTTGTACTTTTTCCCCCTTTCACTAGAGAAGGATGCCGCATAGAGAATGTACAGAAGAATGTCAAATGCAGAAAGTATGCATTCAACATGATACAGCTGATGGCTTTCCCAAAGTACTACAGACCTCCAGAAGGGACATATGGAAAAGCTGACACCTAAGTTTTACAAAAGTGTAATCAGGAACATACATCACGCTAATTAGTGAATATAAAAATCTCTGTTTATGACTTATTGGGAATGTGTAACCAGTTGAGGTGTTATTTTTACCAGGTTTTATCATTTTACATTAAAATAACTCCAGTTAGTTGTTATGAAATAAAATATCATGAAAAAGCAATGGACTGAATATTCTCAAAAACAAATATATTCAACTTTTCTTTGTGAAGTTGAAGCTTAGTATGACTCATAAGCCAGCTGGAATTAGGTTTTTGGGTCATTTGATCAAAGATTAAAAAGGGAAATGTTGTTTGCTATAGGGACTGAGGTTAGCAATCTGGAAGGTGGCATTCTGACTCCAACCCAAAACCTGAGATTTGATTTAAGGGGTCTCTTACTGCTGAAAATAGTGTTTTCTGGAACCAGCATAGCACAGAGGTCTTCATCACTAATGATTAAATCCTTCACAGGATTTTATGAAAAGGTGCTAATGTTTATGAAAGATGCTAATGTTAATACCTGGGGTAAATATAATTTTGGTAATTACATTTAGCTTCTTTACATAAGCATAGTAACTTCATAATATGTTTTTCAAAATTACAGCCTGTAGTTTCAGTAATTCCATTCTGACTCCTTGCAGTTCATTTGGAGGTATCGTTCTTGACTTTCTATACCACAGCCAAATACCACTTACTTCACTTTCATATAAATGACATTGAAATCAGGGAGATTAATTCTTCAAGTAAGGTGACCTGAATTTGACATGTCAAATGTTCCCATTTACTGTAAACCCTTAAAACTAAATTTTCTCTAGTGGTAGGGAAAATGAGTTGTATATACAGGAGTTAATGTATCTTTAGGCTATAAAAACTTGTATGTTTTTACAGAGCCTAAGATAAATGTTATAATTATGAGTAACCTGCTGTATTAGGACTAGTTAGCCACTGCAACTGATTTATATCAAATTTGTAATGCTGCACGTAGACGCTCTAGGATGAAGAATTATCAGCTTTAAAAATGAATGTTAATGCTTCTGCCAGCTTGTGTTAGTCCTGAAATTTGTCTTGCAAAGAACGTTTGTGTTTTCTAATTGTATCTATTTATTGCCGCCTTCTGCCTCCCGGAGAGAAATACAATTAAAAAAGCCCAAGTATTCACTGGTTACTGACCTTTATGTAATGCATTCATTTTGAGAAAAAAAAATATCTAGAGCAGAAGTGTGAGAATTTTATCGTAATGAAACCGCACTGAGAATTTGAGCATCTGTAGGAAATAGTAATTGCCATGGATAAAGAAGTTAACGTTCCCTTGCTCCTCTGGAAGTCAAAGAAATCTTGGTGCACCGTGAGTTACAATTTGTTCTTTTTAATCCATTAATGCCTATTACTGTGTATAAATTGGTAACTATACTAGTAAAAATACATGTTTAAGAGCCTGATTCTGCAGACTCTAATTGGGTGATTACATGGAAATGATCTATCATGTGAATAAAGTTAAATCTGTCTTGTATATTGGCAATATCAGGCTTTGGGGCTTGTAGGAGACCATCAGGAAGAGATCCTCATTCCAATATTCAGTGAAACCAGGAATTCACCTCTAGAATATATTTACCTAACTAGTTGGAACTTTTTTCAAAGTAAAGTAGACCACTTAAATAGTGTTTTGGTGCATTTGTTGTTTATTTCTATTATATAATGTGCTATCATGAATGACTTCTTTATTCTTCTGGAATGTATTACTTCAACAATAGATGTCAGAAGAGTTGGCATTGCATCATAGATAGGCTCAGCCAGATGAGAATATAATGCCTTGATTTTTTTTCCCATCGTGTACCAGTAGAAGCGCACACTACTCATTGGGTGAGTGGATGTGTGCATAAATTTGTGTTTGGGTCTTCAACTATAACACAGCTGATCAATACAGAACTGTTTTCTGGAAAGTTATGTTTTGCTCTGTCAGACTGCTGCACTAGCCCTCACTATCTGCCATGTTTATTATTAGCTTAAAAAAGCCTATGCATACAGTTTAGAAATAGTGGTAAATTCCTCCTGCACCTCTGAAATAATCCCACAGATGTACATTAGAGAATGCTGGCCTTCCTACAGTAATTCTGAAACAATCTGTAAAAGTCTATGTGGAGATGGTATTCACTGGTGGGTACTATAGGTTCCTGGAGTTCTGTATCTTAGTCTCATGGTCATTCTGTCAAGTTCAAAATATGAAATTCTATAGATTTTCTTCTTATCACGAAAACTGTCTTTCAAGATTTTGCCTCAGCATTTTAATCCCACTTGAGTTCTAAATTGCCTTTGTCACTATCATGGTACTTTTTACATTGAAGATGTTTTCCACATTGAAGCCATGTTTTTGGAGGCGGGGGGGAAAGGCATTGAATTACTGTCCTTTTTGTTTTAACAGCCACTCCCGTGTTCTTGTGAAATTAAATAATCTGTTATTTGTTAAAGTTGAGTAAGGAAAAAACCCAAAACCCTCATCAGTGTGCTGATGAAACTTCATTGAGCTCGGGCCATTAAAAAAGAGTAGGCTGGGTTTTGTGGTAAATAAGGTTAAGTTTTTTTGAGCCAGTTTTTAGATTGGAACATCTTTTTGTAGGTCACAAGACCCTGTAAAACCTGCTATCGTGGTTCCAAGTCTACTAGAAGAGCCTTGTTGCTTCGGTACTGAAACAGGCTCAAATGTTTCCTTGTTTGGTCATTGCCTGCTGTGGGCTGCTGCAGTCCATATAGGCAAAGGCTCCATCATCAACACTGAGTTGTCAGCTGGACTCAAAACTAGTGGTTTTTTTGGTTTGCCTCTTATGAAGAAACAAAGAAGGTTTTGCTGCAGGTTGATAGTTACGTTATCTGGGAGTACGTAGAGTCTTTGTAGAAGCTGCTTCAAGCCCTGTGCATTGTTTGAATGCCTAACAGAGGATTTAAATAATCCCTGAGGTCTGGCACATATTCCTTTGTTTGGTTGTTGCTTGCTGTGGGCTGCTGCAGTCCATACAGGCAAAGGCTCTGTCATCAACACTGAATTGTCAGCTGAAGAATGGACTCAAAACTAGTGGTTTTTTGGTTTGCCTCTTATGAAGAAATAAAGAAGGTTTTGCTGCAGGTTGATAGTTACGTTATCTGGGAGTACGTAGAGTCTTTGTAGAAGCTGCTTCAAGCCCTGTGCATTGTTTGAATGCCTAACAGAGGATTTAAATAATCCCTGAGGTCTGGCACATATTCCTGTAGTTCACTGTGAATATCAGAGGAGTAAAATTAAGCAAATGAATTTTTATGAGCAAGCTACACCATTTATTTTGCAAAGGGTTAAGGGAAGCATACTGATGTTGGTGGCGGATTCACAGGAAATGTTCCATATCTGCTCTCGTAAAACTTTTGTTAAAGTATGAAATAATTTGCTTTGAGGGGAGGGCAGTTCTCAAGGGCTAGAAGATGAACATTCAAAAATATATCTGGCATCTAAAGCCAAATCCTGTCTTACTCATGGAAGATACTATTTGTAGAAATAAGGTCATCAGGATCTGCCTCGAGGAATCCTGAAATAAGGGCTTCTAGCTTTGAATATTCGTACAATGTATTACACGCTTATATGGAGGCTTTGTACCACAGACTAGGTTCTAAACAGAGAGCTACTATAAAATGCCTAAAAAATAAGGAAAGGAAAATTAAAGTAATTTTTTCTCAGAGATAATTGTAATACTGTTATAATACATAACATGCATAGGCAATTAAGCAGGCAAGTTTTTTTTTCTGAAGTCTTCTTTTGGGGAATTTAAAATACATTCTTGTAAATGTTTATACTTTGGCTTTTATAGAGAACAAATAATTTAGGAGGACAGCTAAAACAAAATATTACCTGAGAAAGAGCCTTAATGAAGTCCTTTGCAATGTTAATTTTTGTACTGTCTGAATTTTCATAGAATGGTTTGGGTTGGAAGGGACCTTAAAGATCACCTAGTTCCAGCCTCCCTGCCACAGGCAGGGACACCTTCCCCCAGACCAGGTTGCTCCCAGCCCCATCCAACCTGGCCTTGCA